AAAGCCCGGTTTGTGATGCTTGCCGAATCTTTGACGAAATCAGGACTACTATCGAAGCTTCTAAAAGCCGAAAAATGCTCACTTTATTGCAATTTCCTAACCCACTATAGCTCGTACAAGCTAGAATCGGCGTGCCACTTTCAACTGCTTTAAATTCGGCCATCAAATATTTACTCCCAGTAAACGGGTCAAAAAGACTGCGATCAGAATTGGATTTCGAAACGTTGAACACAATCGAATGCGCTTCCGGTGCAACAAATAGAACAACACAATCTATTAGGTTGATGCAAAAGTCTTTTTCATTTTTTTCGTACTTCCGTTAAAAAGTAACAAATGCACCAATTGAACAACGGTTTATTGCATTCGAAAGGCCAATTATTTTTCTGCAAAATGACATTAAAACGAGTTTAAAATGTCTTATGTCTAGATTTTTTTGAGAGCCTGAAGTCGGGTAGTCAAAGAAGGTGACGGCTCGATGATGGATTTAGACGCTTTAGCTAGAAACCAATCTTGATGTTAATAAATAAAAGATAGAGCACAAAAAGTTAGATATTTTTTCAGATTTTCAGAGAAATTGATTCAGCCAATTTCTTTATAGAGGTTTTTATAGATTTTCAGTGAAAAACCCGTTTTCACTCTCGAATGTGCTTGGAAAGTGAACCCAAATTGACTTAAAAAGATGGGAAATTCAACAATAAACACTTTTCATTTAGAGCAAACCATAGGTTAATTGATGACTTTGTTATTTTTCAAAAGAAGTACGAAAAAAATGAAAAAGACTTTTGCATCAACCTAATAGAATGGAGAAAACTTTTAAGGAAGTAATTCGTTTTAAGCGATTAATTCGTTTTAAGCAAGTAATTCGTTTAATGTAATTAATTCGTTTAATGATCTAAGGTCAGAAAAGAATATTTCTTTACAATTACAGTTGTCACTTGATTTTGCAGAGTTTAGTTGCCAGTTCAGTTGCCAGTTTAGTTGCCATTTTCGATAAATCAGCTCACTTTCTGGGTAAACCAGCTTTTATTGCAGAATTTAGAAGGGGAAAGCGGCCGAATCTGGTGTAAACACAACAATAAAAAATTAACTATCTGCCTGTTTCCGAATCATTCGTTTTGAGACTTTCAATTTTTGCATTTCTCTGCGCTTTGAGTAATTCGTAACTGAGTAATTCGTTTGAGTAATCCATTTGAGTAATTCGTCTTCTAATTAAATTGATGTCAAATGCCTTTCAGCTCCTTTCAAACGCTTGAATACATTAGATTGTTGCTGCTCAATCCTTTTGCTGAACCCATCGCATAATTATAGCTCAATTGACACCAAGCTTCTTGTTGGCAGCATTTCCTTGTTTGAAATATCCTTGGTGAATTGCACAGCTTCTAATCTTAAACTTCTCGCCTTTCGTTTTCGTAAAGCTCCGAGTGGTCCATCTTCGTTTTCACTCGAAACGGCATCGCCATGGACATCACGTCGATCTTGGCTCTCGGCTCAGTCTACTAAATTTGCATCACTGCGGCTTTCGTTACCCTTTTGCAATCGATCGAGCAACTCCGCGTCCTTCATCATACCATCATACCATCCGTCCTTCATCATTCATCATCGTCCTAGTTCGTTTTTCCAGCGCAAGCAAAACTCCTCGAGGTCATCAAAGCTTGGACGTTGTTGAGCTGTCGACATCTACCTAAAAATAAAAAATTATTTAATGAAAACGAATAAAGAATTAAAAAGAACATAAAAATTAAAGAAGCTGTTTAACCAATAACTCTCGAATAGTTTCAAACAATTTCAAGTTAGCTGGTTTACGGTAGTTTTAGCGCACAATAAAAAAGTGATGCTTCTATTGGAGAGTGTGCTTCTATTTTTATATTTTTCAATGCCCCTCTGCGGTGTGCTTCTATTGGAATAAGGATGGTAGTTGATTAAACCCAATTTCTGTTTCAGATTACCAGCGGCTATCTGATGGTGGTGGACTTGGAGGGCGTCGTGACCAAGGAGCACTCGACCGACAAAACGATTCTCATATTGACCGATCCGGCAATCCATTGCGAAGATCCGACAAGATTCGGAACAACAAATGCTTCGCGTTTGGGGATGAAAGAGTTTATTTCTAGGCATCAATGTAACCGCTTTTGTTCCGCTCTAGGTCTGGCCTCTAAAAGTTTAGGAAGTACATTAAAAAAAGCGAGTTTGAATCTACCCAGGCTTCCAGTTGATCTGGTATCTTCTGTCAAAGAGGCAAATACAATAGAGTTATGCAAGCGATTCGATTCATTGAATGCCAGAATGAATGAATAATTCAGAGCAATTTTGATTCCAAATCAACCATTTTCGTTTCCTGCGTTTTTACCAGTCTTGTAAAGATTCTTAGCTCATTTTCATTGTTTTATTGCAATTTAATAAACTTTTTATTCAAGTGAATGTAAATTTTTTGTTTTAACCAAAGCACCCTAAATTTATAAAAGAAAATGGTTTTTAAAAATTAGTGATTTCTTAGAGTTAGGTGTGGTTTTAAAGACTTGACTTGATAATCATAAGAAAGTAAGACTTTTTTACGATTAGTCAAGTTTCTAAACTTTGGGTAGAGCCTAATAATGATTCTATCAAGCTAGAAAAAAGACAAACTCTTTTCAAGAAAAAAGAATCTTTTGGTTTCTCTGAAGATCTCAAAAAGGGAACAATTCGGCGATTGTTAGAAAATAGAAAAAAGTATACAATTCAAAATTTAGTTCAAAAATTAAAAGGTGCATTTTTGGTAGGTGATCGAGTTCGTTTTTAGTCTGCTCAACGAAAATTAAGTGCTTCAAACGGGAAACTTAAAAGGAGGGCGGCAATAATCGTGGCCTCTTGTCAATAAAAAAATTTTTCGAGAAAATTCATTTATTTCGTGTATATTTGTTAAATTTTTTTGATAGAAATGATAAAAATGAATTGGCAAAATGAATTTGAGCTCAAAATAGAGTTGATTCACATTTTGCGTGGCCTTTTTAGGCCTTTTTTGGAATATTTATTGGAAAGAAAAACGAGGCAAGATCTGGATCTCCAATTGGGGTAACTTGTGCCGCAGCCGTGACGACAAGATTTCCTGCACGAGTCTCAGTGCTCTCGATAAATATCAGAGCTGACCAACAAATGCGACCATACTTTTGGCACGAGCATCTTGTTCTGGCGGTAAAATTTGGGCCATTTACCGTCCACTGAATGTTTCTCCCTATTCCAGCACTTTTTCCACCAGGTGCCCGACCCACATCCGCGCGAAACAAGGTAGAAATGCGGTAATCTGATGGTAATCTGAAAACAAGGCAATCTGATTAAATCTTTTCTAATATATACCACGAAACTAACTTGGAACTTTCTAAACAAATTTAGAAACAAAAAAGAATAAGACTTCACTTGATAACGAAGCGACTTTTCGAGCAGAGTTTGCTTCTCTGGCGAGGGATTGAAACAAATACCGAAATAAATAAAACCTTGCCTAAACTGTACCTGATATGGCAACAACTAACAAATCACTTTTTTTGGTTTGCTTTTGAAATAAATCAATGCCTTTTTATTCTACTGAAACCTGAAAAAAACATTAAGCCAAAAACGGCTACTTTCAACATTGGGTTCTCATATCTCGATAGAATCTAAGCTGGTCGTTTGAGTTTTGGTATAAATATTGAGTAATCTATATCCTTAATACTATACTGGGAGAATTTGAAGCGAAAAGATCCGTGGCCAGCAGTTGCCAGCAGGCGCAGGTACTCAGGTTCAGACTCGACCTGCGGTTACTTTTTAACACTCTAGTCCCCAATAATCAATCCAATTCAAAATCTTTTTGCACTATTTTGTAGAGGAGATTCAGGGCTTTCGAAAAGTATACAATGCTTATTGGCTGAAGCTGGCAAACTTTTTATTTTTGGGAAGATATTTGAGCGCTCGTTTCGTTCCTAACATGCTAATATACAGGATGTGCCATAATTGGCGAGGTAAAATTCAACAAGATAAATTTCTGATTTTAAGGCAGATTTTAACATCTTAATTTTTTGTGTTATAATACAGGGTGGCTACAAAGTATTGCGACAAATCAAAAGGTCATTGTAGAATTGAATTTCATACTACTACGCTTACGCTTACCTTGACGCCAAAGTGAAATCATATCTGAGCAAGGATCAGTGGCCATCAAACAGTCTTCACAGACTTCAAACAGTCTTCACTTAACCCATTGGACTTTTCAGTATGGGGATACTTGGAAGAACGTTTGTGTACACGGAAAATCAACAATTTGAATATCTTGAAGAAGCTCTCAATGGAACGGTTTACTTCGGCCGCGCCGCTTACTTGCGCCGCATCGTTGCCTCACTGCGCAAAAGAATCGATGCTTGTATTAAAGCCGATGGCGGCCATTTCGAAAATTTGTTATAAAACTTAATTGTTTGACTTTATTTGTTATAAAGATAAAAAGTTTTAATTTATAAATAGCCTTTTAACATTTGGGTATAGCCTTTTGTCGCATTTGATTTGTCGATTTGTCGCATTTGATTTGTCGCAATACTTTGTAGCCACCCTGTATTTTGAAGCCAATAACTAGAAAAACGAATCAACTCAAATTTTATTCAAAAGTTAAAAACCAAAAAAAAGTATCACAGCTAGGAGAATTGGAGTGAAAACAAAGGAAAAAAATGCATAAAAAGATGCATAGAAAAGAAACGGGAAATTATCCAGGCTGTAGGTGAGACGGTAAAAGTTTAGGAGACGGTAAAAGTGAACCTCTTTTCGTATTTAGTTAATTGAATATTGGATTTGAAAGGGGTTTCCAAGATTGCACTAATTCCCATTCAAAAAAGATTCCATCGAAATGCCCAGTGACTATTTGCAGTTTATGTTCATTCTATTTACAAAAGGCCCCAAAATTCCAAAAAACAAATTGTTTGACTATGCGAGAGAAACACTTGAACAGGGGATTTGAAAGTTATTTTAAAGTTATTTGAAAATTGAAAAAGCTTTGCTCAAAAGTTTCAATTTTTCTTCTCATCCGAAGAGTTTGTCTCGTGTTCGCTTTCCACCTGAAAAGTAGGATTGTAAGCTTTATTATTGTAAGTTTAGGACTTGTAAGCTGCTATAGCAATATTAGAAACTTGTATATTGACATAGCAAGCTCATGGATTCGAATTAGGACCGATTTTCACTAAAACCATTTCAAGGCGGTGAATGAAGCCTTATTTCCTTATAAAGAAGGCGAATTGAAGGAATACAGCTTTATGGGGAGTTTTCTTGTATCATTGGCTCAAATTCCTGACCTCATTAAGTAAATCGCCGATCTCTTTCTCCCATTGTTCATCACTTTTCCCCGTCTGCTCGACAACCATCTCGTAATCGGTCAAATCGGCCAATAATTCTTTTTCCCAATCCTCATCTGAAAAAGAAACTATAAGATGAATTGGATGTTAAATCGATTTAGAAACTTAATGAGAACTTCGAAAATTAATACCATATTTACCGTATAACCGTATTCTCTAATAGTAGTGCACCCTGAGCGTCACCTAGCACAGATAACGTCAAGAATCCACTAGAGCTTCAAGATCAAGATCATCAACAGATGATAAAGATCGTCTACAGTTAAAAGCATTCATCCCGACCGCCTTTTTCCTGATCTCTTTGAATTCGGCTCTCTACGGGGCGCCTCGAGTAACGGGCATTTTCTCATACGCCAACCTTTCCGTTTCCAACCGCTAACCTTCCGGGTAGCACAGATAACGTCAAGGATCCACTAGAGATCCACTAGAGATCCACTAGAGATCCACTAGAGATTCACTAGAGATCTACCAGAGATCCACTAGAGATCCACTAGAGATTCACTAGAGATCTACCAGAGATCCACTAGAGATTCACTAGAGATCCACTAGAGATCCACTAGAGATCCACTAGAGATCCACTAGAGCTTCAAGCTTCAAGCTTCAAGATCAAGACCATCTACAGATCATTTAAAGGTTTCGAGACTATTGGACTCTCTCAAAACTGGACTCTCTCAAAAAGGGAGTCGATTCCAAACTCTGGCAGTTCTTATTGGAAAAGTGTTATTTATTCTTATTGGTAAACTTGATAATTTCAACTTAAAAGTTCTGTCTTTTGTCATGCCTCGTCAGCTGTCGTCTTTCAGCTATCCTTAAAGATCTTAAGTTGAAATAAAGTGCAGTTTTCTCATGATTACATTAGCTTTCACATGTTATTTTACATATTATTTTGTTATTGCTATTGTTATTGCTATCACAAACCAATTGGTGATGTGGGTGATGTGGATTCTTTCGTTTCTTTCGGTGATTTTCTTTTGCTTTCCTTTTCTTCAACAATTTCGTCGCTTTCTTTTTTGTCTGCTTCTTGCGAAGAGATTGGTGTCTCCTGGAAATGAAATGTTTAATCAAAAAATAGACTTTATTGTTGGTAGAATTCATTTTTAACTAATTTTCTAAAGGACCAGGCCAGAATGACCAGGCCAGAATGACCAGGCCAGAATGACCAGGCCAGAATGACCAGGCCAGAATGACCAGGCCAGCATGACCAGGCCAGAATGACCAGGCCAGAATGACCAGGCCAGAATGACCAGGCCAGAATGACCAGGCCAGAATGACCAGGCCAGAATGACCAGGCCAGAATGACCAGGCCAGAATGACCAGGCCAGAATGACCAGGCCAGAATGACCAGGCCAGAATGACCAGGCCAGAATGACCAGGCCAGAATGACCAGGCCAGAATGACCAGGCCAGAATGACCAGGCCAGAATGACCAGGCCAGAATGACCAGGCCTAAGGCCAGAATCTGTTTTTCTTCGAAAATCTCCTTTTTTCTCCTTTTTTCTTGCCAATTCCTTCACTTCTTGATTAGACTTTATTATTTTTATTCTTTATTTTCACACAAAAGGCTTTTGAACTTGGCTTACCGGCAGGGATTTTGAAAATGTGTGTTTGTTTTGGTTTGCTCTTGCCTGGCTTGAAATCTACCTGAATCAACGTTTCTTCTTGACTTTCTTCTTCTTTTCCTTCTTCTTCTTTTCTTTCTTCTTCTTTTCCTTCTTCTTTTCCCTCTTCTTCTTTCTTCTCCACTTTTTCCTCCTCAGAAATTGGATTATCCTCTTTCAAGGGGGTTGCTTGTCTTATCAACGAAATCCGATAGAAATAGTTGATCCAAAAGCGTTTTCAGTCACTCTGAAAAAATGCTTGCATTTCGATTTCGTTTCTTAACCGATTTGGATTTTGTTTCTTAACCGATTAAAAAT